GCGCGAATGCCCTAGTGTGGGGCTTGCCCCCACCAGTCCGCCGTTCCCGCCAGCCGTTTTAGACGTGCCACCCTTCGAAGATGAGATGACTTTAATGTGCATGCAGTAAGTACTTGAGCTATCATGTGGAACTGCTGAACGTGTACTTGGCTGCCGAGGCAGACTGGTACAGGAATCAGGTTGGGTGCAGTAGGTCTATATAGTGGAGAGCGGTCATGGATTGACGCTGATGGCTGCTCTCATTTCCTGCTGACTGATCCCAGTGGGATGAGGCGGATTCCGTGTAGTCGAGGTGAAGAGTGATGGTACAGTAGTACAGTTTAATTTATGGGAGAGATTGCTTCTGATACAGTGTGTTTGCTGTGGGAATAATACAAGGAGTTATCAGGCTGTCGGTTTACGAGGCATCGGAACTTCACCAAAGGTTGCTTTCATTCTTCCAGAAGTGTTGATGAATTGAACAAGGTGCGGAGTGGCATTGAGATCGGAGAGGAGGTATGGGATGGAGGTAGCTTTGCGACCCAAGGTGCCGGTGAGGACGTGGCATTCATGCCGATAGCGTGGGCATACTATGAGATAATGGTGGACTGTCTCGTCTATTCATGGGCAATGGGGACAGTGTGGGGATTCCACTTTTCCTATGTGGTTGAGGTGCTTGTTGAGAGGGGCATGGCCTGTGCGGAGTGACATGTAGAGGCCGGTGAGTTGTTTTGGAAATGAGGTGGTGAGCTTGATGAACGAGCGCTGCAGGAGTTTGGGGTCTATGCGGTTCATGCGAGTAAAACGGGGTGATTTCCTCCACATGCGTTGCCATCTGGCTTGGGTGTCCTTGCGGTGTACCTCCTTGAGTGCCGAGATGCTGAGGGGGAGAGCACTGAGGCGGAGATAGTGGGGTAGCTTGATGCGTGCGCTGTTGTTAACTCTACTTTCCGCAGCTAGTTTGGCGTGCTTGTCTGCTTCTTCGTTCCCGTGTACATCTGAGTGTCCCGGCACCCAATAGACCGTTGCTGCGAAATCTCAATGGTTCTTTGTGATCTTTTGCATCATTCTACGAAAACGATCTGCCAGATAAGACCCAGGATGTGAGTGAAAGCTCTCACCAGATTGGATGGATGCTTGGTTGTCCATTGAGATGGACAGGGGGAACATTAGGTCACGTTCGGTTGCTATCAGTTTCACCACCAATGTTAATCCTACTTCCTCCGCTTCGAATACGATGTGTTCATCCTCTGTTCCTAGATGATAACGTAGAGTTCTGGGTGCTTTGCCCATGCGGAAAAGTACTGCCGCAGCTCCTATCTTTCCTTTAAACCCAGATCCGTCACTGTATACCTGTACCGTGTCTTCTAATTTCTCATGTTCTTCTATTGCTGTCTTCTTATTCGCAGCGATGTGGACCGTCCATGGGTTCTTAGAGGATGGGGGTCGACGTGCTGGGATGAGGGTTTCAATTTTGTCAGGGACAATCGCGAAGCAGTGAGTGAGTCGGTGAAGAGATGTACGATGTGACGCCACATAACATTTTGCTGCCTTTTGTAGAGGATGGTATAGAGGGTGAGTGGCAGGGTGAGATGTGAGTCTGATGACTGCTTGGTGACATGAGTTTTGTAGGAGGAGGGTAGTGGGTAGGAGGTTGGTGTGTGTCTCGAGCATGTCCGTGGCGGTGGACTTGAGAGCTCTGGTTATGGCTAGAGCGGCCATTCGTTGGACTGTTGATAGGTGTTTCGCTACGCCGATGGACCCCCTTTGCAGGGTGTCCGAGCCATCACAGAAAGTTGGGGAGAACCAGAGATCTGCAGCATATAACATTTTCAGGATCACAACAGCCTGGTATAACTGATGCATCAGTCGCAACGGTAGACCTTTAGCGGTAGATGAAAGTCGACGTAGCTGAAAGACATATGAGGTACTGCGTGCAATGGCATTGTCTACTTGTGCTTTCCATCGTAATTCTTGGTCCATTATGACTCCGAGGAAACGATGCGTTGGAGTGGGTTGGATGATGGCTCCTTGAATATGCATGTTCGGTCTTGTTCTGTGTCTGTTCATAGAAAAGTCCATTAGTGCAAATTTGTTTGTCTCGAACCGGGGATTGTGAACTCTGGACCATTCATAGCCACCTCCTGGACATTCGAGCATGTCTGCTAGCATGATGTGGGTGGTCTCGAAGTCCCTGGCAATAGCTACAAACGCAGTGTTGTCGACGAATGCTAGAGTAAGTTCCTTGAGGGATTCGCGATTTTGGCGGGGGCTTTGCTATGTCGACCAGATCAGAGCTGTATATAATGTAGAGTATCATCGATAGTGGATCGCCTTGTCCTATTCCATTGGTGACAGGGAACCAATCTGACGTGTACCCATCAAATCATAACTGTGTTTGTCTGTTGGTTAGTACCTGTTCAGTGAAGTGAATGATGTTACCGGGGATGCACCGCATCTGCATGTTATGGAGTAAGTGTTTGGTCACTGCATTGGGGAAGGCACCTTCGATGTCGAGGAAGAGGACTGATGCGACTTTATGGGACTGCCATGTGTCTTTGATGGTTTCTTCTAGCAGATGGAGCGAGTCTGTGGTGGATCTGCCGGGGCGTCCTCCGAAGTGAGTATTTGGCAATAGCTGGTGGTGCTCCAATACATAGGTCAATTGTTCTGTTACTACCGCTGTCAGTAGTTTGCCAGTAGTGTTAAGAAGGGCTATGGGACAATACACTTTCAGGATTGCATAGTTGGGCTTGTCGGGTTTCCACAGGACGACTGTAGTGAAGCATCTCCAGGGCTGATAATAGGTGCAGTGGGAGAAGGCTGCATTAAAGAGGAATGTTAGATATGGGGTCAAGGTATTTGCGCATTCCTTGAAGACGATATTACATATGCTGTCTGGGCCTGGGGCCTTGTAGCCGCTGAGATTGGTTATCACGCATTTTATCTGGTCCGTTGTGATCGGGGGCAGCTGATCCACCGGATCTGGATATACGGCATCTGGGGGGACAGGATCAACTAGGGGGGGAGGGGGAAAGAATGACATAGCTATTATTCAGCTCTTCTCGTGGTTGGTTGTAGCCTCCAGGATGGTGCCATCTGGGTTCAGTGATAGAAGGGTAGGTACTCTCGTTTTCCCACCGTCCTTGGGTTCAGAGGATATGTACTTGTTTGCTGTCCATAAGTCGTTACCCTCAATGTCCTCTAACCATTCTAACCAATGCTGTTTCTTTGTAGACATGATCTCATCTGCGTAGTGGTTTTTGAGGACTTTGAGCTCCTCGTGACAAGTGTGCAGGGGTAATCCACGCATTTGGTAGGCTAGTTTGCTGAGTTGCTTGGTTTGGTTTTGTAGGTCGGTTAGGCGTCGAGTCCACCAGCACTTGGAGTGGGGGCAAGGCTTTGAGTAGGGTACACATGCGTCGATCGTGTCCATTATCGCCCGAGTGAGGTGTTGGGCGGCTTCCTGGAATTTGTCATTAGAGGCTAGGGTTGGGGGGGGGGGGGGGGGGGGGGGGGGGGGGGATGAGGAAATAAGGGTGCTTAGGCATTCATTGAAGTTCTCCCAGTCTACTTCTCACCAGTTTCTGCGCGGCTCCTTGTTGACTCTGGGTGCTTCTAGTTTAAGGGTGATTAGGACAGGGACGTGGTCGGTTTTGGGACCTCGGCTCGCTGGGTCCATGTCACAGGATATGATAGCATCTTGGAGTTGTTCAGTCCCGAAAATGTTGTCAGGGCGTGTCCAATTGCCGCTGTTATTGGATTGAAGCGTTGGGATTCTGCAGGGTAGAAACTGTAACATGCCATAGTCAGCGATGAGATTAATTAGGGGTAGAGCGGCGGGAAAGTTAAATAGGTGCCTGTTGCGAATATCCTCCCACAGAGGGTGGTGCCGGTTGAAGTCGCCTAGTCATAGCATGTGATCACTTTCTGAGGATCTGATGGATGCGATGTTGATTTCGAGGAAGGAATCAAGGGCAGTTAGCATGTTCTGGAGGTTGCAGTCGTTATAGATGTTAAAGATGGTGCATCTCCCATAAGGGCCTGAGAGTTGAACAATTACGACATCTGAGGAGGGAAATGAGATCTGTTTCCACATGTTGGTATCTAGGGAGGCGCTGATGAAAGAGACAGCTCTCGTGCGTTGGCGAGGGTGAGAGTAGTGTTGCATTGGGTATATTACGTGCCAGTGGTGATTGGCGGTGGTGTTTTGTAAGAAATTAATGTGAGGTTCCTGGATGGCTAAGATATCCCAGTCTGCAGCATTGGGGTTGTTGAGGAGTGAAGCTTGTGCTGTTAGGGAGGTGTTGAGGTTTTGTTGCCAGATTCTAAGATTAGCGGTGTTGTCGAGAGGTTGTTCAAACATTAGAAGGGGATGAGGGGGTCCTGTTGGGGTTTTCGGAGTCCAGGGTCAGAGATGGGAAGTGGGCATTGATGGCATTGATGGCGTCTAATAGTGGTGGGGATTGGGGGCGTTGAGGGGATCTAGTACGGTTTTGAGTTGGAGGAGGGCGTCTGAATCCTAGCGTGGCTTGACGGAGGTCACGTTGTTGAGTTGGTTGGGGTGGTGTTGATGGAGGGTGAGGATGGGGGGCATTCTTAGGGGGTCTTGGAGGTTGACTGACGTGGGTCCAGGCTGCCTCTGTTGGGAAGTATGGCATTCGGTTCTCAGGATGCTTGTCATTAAGGAGTTTGCATCTACGAGTGAATTCTGGGCAGGATCTGCTCCAACTCGTGTGATTACTGCTTCGACAATTGATGCATCGAGTCGTTTTGTATGCGCTGCAGTGGGTAGTGCGGTGTGGTTCTGCGCAGGTGCTGCAGACGTCTGCAGTGGCGGTGCAACTCTGCACGATGTGTCCGTAATGTTGGCATTTTGCGCATCATATTGGTTCCTTTTTGTCCTTACAGACTGCGATGCATTCATTGTCAATGCTGAGTCCATCCCGTAAGATGTCATTGGCAGTAGTTGCTTCTGCCACCTGAAGAAGGGCAAAGGCCTTGCATTGTTCTTGTGAGCGTCAGAGGGGAGGTTTGATCCATCGTATGGCAACTAGGACATTTTTGGATAGTTGGTTATCATGTTCTATCTTGTGGAGGAAGCCATCACTTTCGATCTGTAGTTGAATGGGTAAGTATTCGAGTACGATTGGGAAGGTTCGAGTGCAAAATGATACTGCTGAGTCGAATTGTCCCTCTAATAGGGCTCTTCCTGCCGTTCCCCGCAACCATGTTGCAAGGTCCTCGTTCTCTAGTTCTACAATGATGCCGCCGTTCTGTAGGGCGAGGACAGCCTTTATGTTTCCTGGTGGGGTGGATTCGTCCCTGATGTTGGAGAGTGCATCTTTCATTTTCTTGGCAATGTCAGGGTGCATAGTGTTTGGTGGGAATAGTTGGTCTCTGGGCCTGGGGTCCAATAGTATTTGCTGTGCTTGGATTGCTGCGCAGCCTACCGCTTGATCTACTGTCAGGGGGAGATAAGCTGCTGCCACAGAGCTGTATGTAGACTGGGAGGGTGCTTGTGGGTGTGATGGGGTGGGAGCCAAAAGCATTTGTGTAGATAGGTGGTTGATCTTTTCTTGAGTTGCATCGAGGGAGGGAGATAGGACCTTTATGGCATTTTGACAGTCCTCTACTGAGGAGAAAAGGATGTCTGTCGCTTCTTCGATTCGTTCTGCTGCGATGAGGGCACTTTCTTCCTTTTCATCATGGTCTGCTTTGAGAGTGTTAAAGAGGTGGTTAGCCCACTTGATGGTTGTCGCGAGAGACTCAGAGGCGGTAAGGACGGTGGCAACTTGGGGTGCTATCGCTGTGATTACACTGTTGACTAATCGGGAGGAGAGAGAGTCTGCCAGCTGCACGGCGGCAGCTTCTGCGATCTCGCAAGCAGTGTGCTTCTTCAGAATGAACGCGACAGTGCGGATGGCTGTGATTACTGGTAGGGGGGTGTTGCCTGGAAGTTGAGTGATATGGAGGAGGAGGGAGGTCAAGTGCATTAGGGTAAAGGGTTCGTCAGTTTGGCTAATTAAGATTTGGGAGAGATACTTCTCTGCGGATTTATGATCTGTTACTGGATTGGGGATTGCTTCTATTTCTGTCTGGGTAATAGGCGTTCTGACTGTCTTTCTAGTATTGGGTCCAGTAGGGGAGATTGTGCGGTTCTTGGGTGGGCACGTTCCAGTACTGACACTTCTTCTTTTGGTTGACGACATTGCGCCAGTGGGAGTCTGTAGAGTTAGTATCGAATGTTTATTTTTGTATGTTTTTAAGGGTTTTTTGATAGGTTTTGATAAGGGCGGGGACGCCGTTTGGGCAGCATTGGCGCTGTTGGGTGCGATGAGCTGGATGGGTGTTCGGGGTCCTTTTTCGGGGTGCCACTTGGTGTGGGACGAAGAAGCTTCTCTTCCTGGTTGTCCTCAAGATTGGGGTCTACCTCCTGTCCTAGTTGCATCAACGTCCATTGCATTTCCACCCTGTGACACAGTCTTGGGTGCTACTGGTGCAGATGTTGCAGCAGCACCTTGCCATGAGTGGCGGGGTGTAAAGTTCATCTTCCTCTCGTCTTCAAGCTCCTCTAGGTTCTGCTCAATGATGAGCGTCTCCCTTATCAACCCTGCCAGAGTGTCTTTCCTATTAGGATGGACATGGGCTAATTGGTTCCTAACCCATTGGTCTAATCCGAAGTGGAGTTTGCGCATCAACTCATAGTCAGAGAAGTGACAGAAGGAAAGTTTCTGCTGAAAGAGGGAAATGTATTCTGCGATGGTGCGGTTCCCTTGTCATAGAGCTTCTAACTCCCTTGCTGCTTTCTCCTCTTTATTGACGATACTCCACATGACTTTCATGTCTTTAATGATGGCTTTATAAGAACCGACCCCACCGCTAAGGGCCATTGGTGTAATGCTTTCCACCCATTTTGCTGCGGGCCCTCGACAGAAAGATATCAGGCATGTACTCTTCTGTTGCTCTGTTGCTCTGTGGCTCCAGGGTAACCCGTGAAGTATATCTCAATCTGAGTCAGGAAGGTGTCGACATCAATGGAATTCTTTTCTCCAGTGAACTCCGTGGGTTTCGCCATCTTGAGATCAGAGCTTGAAGTCCCAGATATACCGCCTTGGGTCTTTGTCATAGACAAGTTCTGCAAATCCGTGATTGTGTTCTCTGTGAGTGTCACCCTGATCCTTAGGTCCATGTTCTCGTTGTTCACATGCACCAAGCCTTCCTGAAGCTCGTTGATCTCCTTCTGCATTTGGTCTATCAAGGCTCTGGTGTACACCCTTTCTGCTTCGACGACGACATGGATTGCTTCCAAAATGTCCCAGTGGGTGATGATAGTCTCTCCAGTCCCTGAGATGCCTGGCGGTGCAGAAGGGCCTTTGGTTGGGGTGGTGGATGATTCTACAGATACAACTGGGCCCCAGTTGTGCCCTATCATAATGTAACTAGACTGTGAGAGGACTGTCGCGAGTGCTGTTCTTTATAGTATGAAAAAATATATGTAGCATTCAGTTGGCAGGGTTTTGGGCAGAACTGAAGACATACAGAAACAGGACCTAAGTGTCACTGATCCTTATGAACTGGCAGCTCATAGTAAGACGAGGGCCTGGTTCACTTTTACTAAAGAGTAACGTAAAGAGATTGATATAACAAAATGCGTTAGGGAATGATGATTTGAGTTAAACATAATCCACGAGATAAATCTCAGCAGAATAGCACAATGAAGTTTGTCAAGAACAGCAACGTCCAAGACAAAGTTCAAGTTTGAGTGGTAAGAAGACTTAACCTAATGTTATGACCAGCGTTCACTAAATGGCAAAGACTAATACACAACCACTAGGACTCGGTCACAGTTGATGATGATGATCAAAGATAGGATTGAGCATGAACATCTAAGTCTACTACAAGTGTAGAAATGAAGAGGTTAAGTCTAAGGAGCACTTACGCTAACTAACCTACTTATATACATAACATTGAAGAGGAGATATCTGAGTTGAAAGAAATCAACCAATAGGAAAAGAGTCGTACAATACTGCTGATGACTGAGCATGACGTCGTGATATGTAAGTGATGAGTCAGACAGTGACTAAATAGAAACCCAAGATCTGACCAGTTCTTCTCCTGGAAGCGAGATTGTTCTAGCCCATGGAGTAGGGGAGCCAATTGGAGAAGCAATGGGTGATAGGTGAAGAGGTGAAGTTGTGACAGGAAGTGCAGTCATGTGACTGGTTCAGTAACTGGAAGTAGCCGAAGGAAAACCAAGAAATGAAAAATGATTTGTATTTGGGATTTGTGACAATTATTGGAGAAGGAGGAATGTAGCGGACAGGGAAACAGGGGGTCGGACCAGCAATAGGGATGCTCACAGGTGGTGTTAGAGGTGCTCAGATCCGGTATATGACACGGCCCACAAATGTAAAGGGAGGCAAGTTGTCACTACTGGCATGACATACTGATTGCTGGAACCTGCAACAGTTTGAGCTCCTCACTCAAAATGGCACCAAACACCGCAGCAGAAGGATTTAAGTTGAGTTGTTGTCTTGTCATGCTCAGAACTGACTCATTCTCATCCCATCTTGCAATCGCTTGCACCTAGAACCATGTCTGAGGACCAGCCTGAGAAATCTTGTGGTCGATGTCGCAAACAAGTTGATGCCCTTCATTTAGGCCCAAGGAAAAGACTGTGTGTGCCTTTATATTTGCAGGAATCATTCACTACTGATTTATATTGCAGTTATAATACAGGAGTGTGACTGATCCATTGGTACACTATGGACGTCATTTTGGACGAACGGTCCATGCTCTTTGCAACTTCTAAGCCCTCCTTACAAATGGAATCTTGTGGATGGGAGAATTGGCTGACACTCCAGAAAAAAAAATTACTGCTGAGTATGTTACTCTCCTGCAGTGTTATGTGCAACATGTTCAATCAGGTGTATGTTCCAAGGGAAAGGTATGAGCATCATGTTTTTCAAGAGCTCCTCAAATCTGTTGCAGGCCTAGAAGAGCCCTTGATGCAGGGTGGAGATGATGAAGTCGACATTGTTGCAGAGCTGGCAAGTATCATCCACCATTCTTACTATGTCTTCAAGTTAACTGTTTATCTTATATATCATTAGCTCACCAAAGGTGCATCTGGAGTAAGGGGCGATGATACCAAAAGCCTCAAAGGTAGTGTACTCAACTGGATCACCCCAAAGGGACAGAATCTTGTCCCTCCTCTTGCTTGCAATGTGAAAATTGACCATGGTTTCCACCATGAATGGACAGGCACTTTGCTTTGTTCTGCCGGCATTGACTGGTCAAACCCAGAGTGTGTGATATCTTGTTTATCTCTTTCCTTGGTGACTGATGGAGTGCAGGACAAAAACTAGGCCATGAAGTGGTGAGATCATTGTGACTGGAGACCAATGGCCATTATTCTTGTACACCAATTACCATTATGATCCTGAAGATCCATGGAATGGTTTGTTTCAAAGTTCCTTACTGGTTTGTGTATGATACAAGCTTCATCATGTCGCTTCCAAATGTCTCAACTAAGATTGCAGGCCTACAAACACATCTTTATGTCCCCTAGTTCTGTGGACAGAGAACCAAAGGCAACTCATTCAGATAATGCTCGGATTCACAGGATGACTCGAGTTACTTTGCCGTTGGTTGCATACATCGCAACACAAGTGTGTCAATGCTTCTAATCTATACTATGTTCTTACTCAGTGAGCATTCCTCTCAGGTCCAATTTGCCCTCACATCATCACCTGTGTTCTCGTGTACAGACACAGTTACTGACTCTGAAAGGTTCTACAATTCCATTTTGGACATTTTTGAAGACCCAGATGAAAAACAAGAGGTGGATAAACTTGTTGTATGGTGGAACAGGTAATTGATAACTCAGAAGTTACATTCTGTTCTGCTGATTCTAGTATTTTTAGGCAGGTCTTCCCTTCGTACTCAACTGCTCAACATCCCCTTGCCAAGAATAGTGCACTAGCGAGGATTCAGGAGAAGTGAGCACAGATGAAAGAGTTAGTTTCAGTCCCTAATGGTGGTAGCAGCAGCGTGTAGCATAGAGTCAGCCACTGTAACTACTAGTGGAGAATCCATATCTGTGATCCCACTATCCCGCTATTTATAATATATGCATGCTGCAAGTAGCCTGTAACATGTCACTGAGGTCATTTCAAACATCAGATTGAACATGTAGTGATCAATTCTACTCATTTTTGTATGTTTCTACCAATGGCAGCAATCAAGGTAGTCATGATGCTGTAATGTACTACAGATTTAGTTTAGTATTCCCACTTTAAATTGCATCAGCAAGGTCATGTTGTGCTTGTGCCGGTAATGTCATATCCCATACCTCCAGACCCAGAACTCCGGATCCTCCCCTGTGAAAGTCCAGTTCTCCATCCTATTCTCTGTCCAGTGCTCCACTTTCATCTCTGGACTCACTCCTATCTCCTTTTAGAATAACTTTTCTCTGGCTACTGGTTGTATACCTTTCCGCTTTGCTTACTGATCCGTCCATTTGTACTTCATTTCCGACTTCATTGCTTTGATCTGTTATGCACTTACTAATAGACTTTCCATATGCTTCAGGCATAGCTTTTACTTTGCTGACTGATTACTTACATGATACCTACAGTATATAAACTCCTGTAAAGCTCTGGTACTCCTCAGTTCGAATATCATCTTAGTTTTGCTCATTCCTGCTTCTCCGGGACTTGAGTCTGATCTCCTGTCCACCTCCGAGTCTTAGGGTTAATCCTTAAGACTATAACTCCGGCTCTACCTTAGGGTAGTCTAACTCTGTTCTGTTTCTACTCCGGACTTGTCCAAAGTAGTCTTACTCTATTCACTCCTAGCCTTCCGGAGTTCTGCCAAACTCCCCCTGCGTCTGACCTCCAGACTTACCTGGTGTGGGTACAACAAGTGCAGCGGAGAGAAATCAATCTACTACAAAGTTGGGTCTTTGCTGCCTACTGCCTCACTTGAGAACAAGCACGTTCGACCCTAAAGGGGATTGCTACTGGGGAGTGCTAATCTCTGTCTAAGCGACCCTAATCAACCCTACCGCAGGTAGGATGAGGATCCACAAAAATGCAGAACAAGCAGAACAAGCAGAACTTGTGTGGAACAAGCGGAACCCGAGCGGAACTCAAGTGGAATGGAAAGGAATGAAATGGAACTCAAACGGATAAAGCGCGGAACGTACTGATTCGTCAGAACTTGCAGGCGAAGTTGAAGGAAGTATATCATGAGGTTAGATTGATAGTGGGCATAAGTCAAAGCGGTCCTCTAGTAAGGTGAAGGGAAAGTGGGAAGGTAAAAGATGGGATTCGATAAAAACACCCAAGCCCTGAGTACCACTACTTATAGGGAATATTATTTTCAAGGAACACTGAGGTACAGGTAGTAAGTTCTCAGGAAGCGGAAGTGAAGGCAGGCAGTGCACATGGGCGCCAATACTCCAGAATAGGGGTCCGTGCCATAAGGGCATGTGTCAGTTTGATCCGGATAACATTAGGAACAGCGGGAAGAGGGATACAGCGTACCAATGGACCTGGAAGGATGGGGACAGGACATGCGAAGGTTGTCCGATGATGCGCGGGAATATTGGATAGTGCAGGCAGGTTCCGAAGGATGCGTGGGAATGCGGAACCCATTGGACGATGTGCGGGAAACGCAGAACGTGCAGAATATGCAGAACTGATGTGAGATGATGCGGAAAGGACGGGGTTTTACACCTACAGTGGGGGAATTCCCCACACTGGACTTCCATCGGACTTCCCCTCTGCCTCTCGGAAATTAAGGGCATGTACTCAGGTAAGGGGCACAGTGCACAAGCTGAAGCCAAGCCCTTTGAGTTACACTTCCTTTGAGCATGACCTTAACAGGTAACAACTACAACAAGTGTGTTTTTGGACAATATTTGTAAGAATGATACTGGTTGGACATGCCATAAAAGCAGGCATTCATTATATACATGGATACTAGAGTTTGTGATGCCTCATAATTGTAAAACTTGACCCTCCTTGCCATGCAGACACCCCCTTGCAATCACTGTCACCATGGTGACATTTGTGAGTTCTGTCAAGGCAAGTGTCCCTTGTAATTGAAGGGACTATAATCCACAAATCCATCACAATTGCAAAGCTAGATACTACATGATCATTTTATATTCCTTTGTTAGAGTCTTTGCCAACAAAGCTCATCCTTGCATGTTTGGCAAGTCCTATCATCTCTATCCTACTATATAAAACTTCACAATGTAACTTATCAATATTGCACTTAATGTAGTCATTTTACTCATTGCAATTCTTTATATACCAATACCATTCCATCATTGAATGTCTGATGACTGCCATTCTTCCACCAGCACACACCTGTGTGCAAGAGAGGATCTTGACAGAGGCAGACTGGGACATGGAATAGATGCTACATAATATATCTTTACTTAGTATTGGTGAATGAATGCAAATTTTGTGAAACATGCTATGGATTGAAAAATTTTGCAGCACCCAAATCCACTGGGCTGGTTCTGCTGCTGGTGGATATCCACCCTACTCACCAGTGGATAACTGACCCCTGATTTCTCCAGGGTAGATATCCACAGTGGATAACCCCCCAGAAGGTTATCCATGGTACACTAGTCCAAATGATAGGTTCAGAAATGGCTTAAACTTGATCCTGGGATCACATTCCAGCCATGTATCTGCTGTCTGAAATTTCCGACAACATTAGTGTTGCTGCAAGGTGAATCGAATCGAATTGAAGTGGAAATTTTGGGTAAATTGAGACAGTTCAACACTTATGAGTTGAAACAAAGTGTACCTTGTTTGACTTGCAATTTGGTAATGATTTCGGGAGTGATGTGGACTGATAGTTCAGCCAATGAGAAGCCATGAATTTTTACCACCCTCACCAAGTCCTGACAATGATTATTCACAAGTGACTACACAATGAGCAGATAGAAAGTGTAATACTCTACTTGCAATAAATCTCCCTTGCATTTGCAAATAACTGGTCAAGCTCAATAAATTTCCTGGCAGCCATCAGTTCATCAATTGCTCTAGGAGTCACAGGTCCAGATATTGTGTAGTCCCGCTCATCAGCCACCAAGTCCTCCATAAAATTCAGGTGAAATGCCCTGAAGTGATTCAAAGGATCTGCTTGGAGTCTGAAGTGGTGATAGTACTGTACCATGAGATTGTTGAGGACCAGTGAGATGAGATGATGATGATGATGCCAGCACTCAATCATTATGATGTTGAGTAGTTCATAGCTTACCATTGTTCCCAAGTATGTTAAGCAAATGATATGCTGCTGTCATTGTGATCACAGCCTGATATACTGCTCTAAGTTTAATCCTACCTGATATTCCCTGATTGATTAGTGGGCATGCATGCAGTCTGCTTTGCGACCTGAGTTTCGAGTCTTGAGATTGCACATGTGGGAGTCTGATGTTTACATTTTAAAATTAATTCTGAGAATGTCTGATCAACTGAAGATGAGATGGATGAACAAAGACTTCCAAGATCCTATCTCAAACTCATGAAGCTGTTCAACCACCCAAAGCTGGAACATGTTGAACCCATGCTTCTCCAATCGCTCTGAAAAAGTATTCTAAAACTAGTTATCAGTGTCATTTTCATAATAGAGTACATAGGACTATGTACACAAATTGGAACATATAATTCATCATTGAGGATCGCTTTGACATGTGCACCGTCCACTGGCACTCCAAGCTGGAACACCAGAAACTTGATGCATGATTGACAGATGATTTTTTCTACTGTACTACAACTACTGTATAATCTTGCTCGATTGTATTGCATGTTGTGTCTGTGCCATATCCCATACCTCCAGATCCAGAATTCTGGGTCTCTCCCCCTAAAGTCCAGTTCTCTGTCCTGTTATTTCACCCAGCGCTCTGCTCTCATCTCCGGACTCACCCTTATCTCCTTCAGAATAGTTATTGCTCTGGCTACCAGTTATGTCCTTTCCGCTATGCTTACTGATCCATCCGATTGTACTTCATTTCCAACCTCACTGCTTTGATCCATATACACTTACTAATAGACTTTCCACATGCTTCGTACATAGCCCTTACTTTGCTGACTGATTTACTTACATGATACCTACAGTATATAAACTCCTGTAATACTCCAGAACTCCTCAGTTCAAATATCATCTTAGTTCTGCTCATTCCTGCTTCTCCAGACTTGAGTCTCATCTCTTGTCTACCTCCGAGTCTTAGGGGTTAAACCTTAGGACTAAATCTCTGGCTCTACCTTAGGGTAGTTGTCATATACCAGATCCGAGCACCTCCAATACCACCTGTGAACATCCCCACCCCGGGTCCGACCCCCTGTTTCCCCGTCCGCTCCATTCCTCCTTCCCCGACAATGCACAAAGTGCATCTCAGCAGGATTAGCCCTGCTACCTCCGCCCGACCCTGTTCCACATTTCCGACACTACCCCTATGTCCTCCGACCCCATACCCCTTCCATCCAACCCTATCTGGAGTTCCGCTCCTCCGCCCTATCAGTCTGCCCGATCCTATTCCTACTCCCTCCGCTTTTCCGACCCGCGCAGGTCCTTCAGTTCCGCTTGTATTCCCCCACCCGACTATTAGTCCATCCGACTGCCTCACCGGTCCACTCCTAGACTAGGAACCACTCAACTGGTCCTATCCCTGTTTAGTATCATAGTTCCGCTTTTCGGATCACCGGTAATCCCTATACCCTAGCGATTTCTGATCCGTCACGTACATACTTTTCTCTGAGCCTTATTCTCGTATGTCTCAGTCATCCTCTTGTGATCCTGTACACTCAGCACATAGCCTCCTGCTATGCTATGCTAATTACTTAGAGTATATAAACATATGTACATCTGTCTGTAGATACTCAGTCTGAATATTACCTTTTCTAAGCCCTGCTCTTCTGCCCTTTGACTTAAAGCTTATCCCAAGTCAAATTCCTGTTTCCCGGCCTAGGGGATTGACTCCCTAGGTTGGCTGTCCTCCGATCCTCCGCTTCCCCGTTCCTCCGTCCCGCTGGTTCCACTGTTCCGTCGTTCCATCATTCCCCCATTCCTACATTCCTCCAATCCTCTGTTCCCCCATTCCCCTGTTTCCCCTTTCCCCCATTCCTCCGCTCGTCCAACTTCCCATGCATCGGAACTAAACCCCGCACTCTTGCATCCGTCCCCTCCATTCTGCTCTGTGTTGGACTTCGTCCAAGCAGTCCCTTCCACTCCGCTTCTACTGTTGGTTCCGACCACAGTAGTCTCCTGCCTCCCTCCTATTGGGCAGAACAACCCCCGCCCAACTTTCCCGCACTCACCTAGTAGTCCGTTGGTCCTCCTTCAGAGGACCCCTGTTTCGGTGCCCTGTCGGAACTCGTAGAACTCATGTTGGACTACATCCTGAAATTAGGGGCACATACTCGGGTAAGGGGCGCAGCGTATGAGCTGAAGCCAAGCCCCTCAGACTCCGCTTTACCCCTGAGCACGGTCTTAGCAGTAGTCTATACTCTATTCTGCTTCTACTCTGGACTTGTCCATAGTAGCCTTACTCTGCTCTCTCATAGTCTTCCGGAGTTCCACCGAACACCCCCAACGTCTGACCTCTGGACTTCCCTGGACTTCCATCGAACTTCCTCTCTGCCCCTCGGAAATTAAGGGCATGTACTCAGGTAAGGGGTGCAGCACACAAGCTGAAGCCGAAGCCCTTGAGTTGTCTTCCCCTTGAGCATGACCTTAACAGTCTGTCTGTACACCATGTTTTTTGCTGATCATATTGAGTCACTGATGGGCCGGTGGTGCATGATATCAATTAAATCTCCAATATCAATAAGCCAAAATAACCTATAATCACAATGTGTCTCCCTTATCACCTTCCGTCTCCTCCCTATTTTATCATGGCCCACCACAAGAGATCCTCCAGTCCCATCTCAACTTCATGATCCGAGTCGGAGAGCAGCAACCATGAGTCGTCCTCCAAGGAATCATCCGCCTTGTCTGTGGATAAGCCGTCTTCTTTGGGTAAGGATTCATATTTCTGGAATTGAAGTCTGATCGTGACACATCTTACACATCTCAGGGTCTCAAAAGGGGTCGGCCAAGTCTAGAAAGCTTGAGGAAAAATCTATGAAGTAAGTCGTCATCAATACTCGGCTGCATTGTGTTACTTATAGCACATATACCCATAGAAAATCTAATAATGGCACCAATGAAAAGTAAGTTCACGATCATGCGTGATTATGTCATGATCTTGGTGCGATCAAGACACTGATCAATTGATAGGAAAAAAACCAGGAGCTATTCGTAGTGGGAGGGAAGAGTGCACGATTGTCGTTGTCACTGATGAAGAAGCAATCTGCAAAGCATGTTGCAGCAGCACATGAAAAGGTTTTATATATATATATATCCTATAACACTTTTGACTTATGTGTGTTTATCTTCAGTCTGCCACCTCTACCTCTTTATCCCCCCCCCCATTGAAGCAGAGCCTACTGTCGACCACCCAGACATTTCAATTGTGCATCCTTCTCCGCCAACTACTTCTCCACCTCCCATTGAAGAAACCATGGTCCCACAACCAATGTCCATTCCTAGGCCCCATCCTGTCAAACCAGCTGAGCTGGCAACAGCTCATCTTCTGCACCTTGCTGACTGTCCCCCCTCTGAAGGCTGATGCTGTTGCTCCTGTTTCTGACAAGAGCAAGAAGCGAAAGTCAGAGGAGTTGGAGGTTGATGGCAACAGCTCCCTGAGTGAAGCCAAGTCTGACAGCCCAGTCCCTCCAAAGGGCGGGAAGAAGCGCCAAAAGAAGACTACCACTACTGCACCCAAGAAATGGAAAGGGCAAAAGTGATTCATGTTTTCTGGTATGCACTCACTCTTTTTCTGTACATTTATCTGATAGCGCGACATATTCCAGCTCATCCTACCCAGCATCCACTTGTTCACATCCCCCGTCACTAAATTTTGCTCTTCGGTTGCCCTTATATGTTTTTCTGTAGTTCACACATTTGCTCTCATTGCTGTCGCACTTGTCCACAATATTCCCAGATTCACATATTCACTCTCATTGCTGTCGTGCACTCATTTGCAATTCCTCATCACCGAGTTCAAATTTCACTCTCGCATTAACCGTAAATCAGTGTATATAATTGATGTCATGCACTACAAGAATTAGTGATGTTCCGGGCCGGCTTGGGCTCAAAGCCCCGGCTTAGGCTTGGCCTGGAGGGGCTTAGGCTCGCCAGAATTCAAGCCTGAGCTGTGAGCCCAAGCCGGCCCAAAGCCGGGGCTTTGGCCCAAGGAAGCCGCGGCCCGCGCGCTGAATTTTCTGCGATGGCGGTGTGAACAAGTGAGCATGCAGATACAAGCAAGTACATACATACATAGACACACAAAATGCACCTATATGTCGGGAACAATGCAGGCACGCACAAATGAGCGGCAGTGTGCGGAAACAAGTACAGACAAGCAAAAGTGAGTAGTGACATGCGGAAACAAGTAAAAACACGCAGACAAATGCAGAGGTGGAGTGCAGACGAGTGTAGACATGCACTAATATCAGCAGAGAAGTAAGGAGCATATGATCAGTTAGTTATAAATATTATCAATCGACAAATCGAACCCATTTCACAACTTGAAGACGCCGGATACAAACGAGCGCAGCCTGAGACACGTAAAGACAAGCACGCGAAGTGGCCGCAACGAAGTGCCAAAGAGTAAATGTACACAACTTCACAAATAGATATGTAGATATGTAGATGCTTGTCAGCAATGTACATACATAGATAAGTGAAAAAAGACGCACTTAGATTGCATGAACAAGCGCAAATGAATGCAAATGAGTTTCGGGTGAACGAAAAGACAATCACCAGGCGCAAACGTGCGCAGGACGGCAGAGACAAGTACAAACAAGTAGTACAGACAAGCAGCGACAGTTGCAGACAAACACAAATGCCATGTGCACGGAGACTAGTGCAGACGTGCACAAACATGCAAGGACTCAGAAGGACTGGAAGGACATAAAAAAAACTTGTCAGTAATGTAAATGAATGCAGAAAAAAAACACCTTTTCGTGACACTGATGTCGTCAGCGATGCTCTCGCTCGTCCTGGATGTCAACCAAAGCCGCGGCTTAGGCCGCCGGCTCAGGCTTTTCGAAACCCAAGCCCAGGCCTAAGCTTTCCTCAGGCCGTGACTTAGGCCCGGCCTATTTGGGCCCGGCTTGGGCTGGCCCAGGGCTTCAAGCCGGGCCGTGCACATCACTAACAAGAATGATACATGCTTATACTACCATACCACCACAATAACTCATTATAATGTGCCATAAGTTGCTCAGGCCTGCTTAGTAGCGCACCATATGTCAGATATGACGCATGACCCATCAGTTGATGATCGAATGAGCTAAAACTCAGTTTCTTGATCTGATCATCTAGGATGACCTGGGCCTGGGCTGGGCTGATGGGCCATGATGGCTGTGGTGAGGCTGATGACGGATGATAAGATCTTAGCATACCTTATCTAGGTTTGGGACTTTTGGTGACGCAGTCAGGGTCTGAATTCAAAGAGCAAGCGAGAATCTAAAAAATTCCTTTAGTGCTGGAGGGACAGCTATAAGCCTTCTGTTCTGAGTTATCGAGTTGACACGAATTTGGTCATTTCCAAGCGAACCGAGTTCACATCGAGTTCAACTCGCCTCGACAGCAACACTAGACAACACACAGTGATTGGTTTGTGCCTGACAGCGGATTCGAGCCGGCATTGACCTACACGGCAATCTGCTGGCATCGCAGATATCATCCATTGGAAAGGGGTGGATAGATTCTTCCTAAGCCACAATGTTCAGCACATAAAAGCAAGCCATCTTCCTACTATCCTCTTTGGATTTATTTGATCCCATATCACATCCTCATAAACAATGCGTTTTTCCTTTGTCCTCGCCTTCGTCGCCGCGTTGACAGCAACAAGATCTGCAGCATCAATACTTGCCAGTGACCCTGACGATGACTGTCCTTGGTTGTGCTTGACTTATAATGACTGCAAGAACTGCTATGACTCGATTGCATGCGTGAGTATGAATAGTTTGCGTCCTGTGTTTAACCACACGACTCACTGGTGTTGTAGTTCCTCTTCGGATGCGTTTCATGGGCCTAGCCTGACGCATGTCACCACACTTTGAGAGGTTATTTAGGTTGGGGAATATGTTGGGAAGATGTCAAGTAATGAGCGAATTTTCACGAGATAATAAAGAGATAACTGCGCCACAAATATTCCGCCATTTGTCCAAGTAATGTGGGCTCGTCTATCGAAAGTACCCAGACGTTCTGGGAACTGGAAGAACCCGAGAGAGGTCCTAGGACGTCTGGTTCGAGACTAAGAGCCTGGACAGCTGCCGTTTATTTCGAGTTTATTTCTCAGTTTGTTTCTGTATGTGGCGTGGCAATGTGTGACTTGCGGTGACAATGAGTGACGCATTCGTGACATGTCCATGAGATTGGCTTGCGGCGGCGCTGGGCAGCGCTGTCATCACGATCAACTGCGACCAACAACAAGGTCCAATTCACAGCCTTCGTGCTTCGCTACTCCAAACTGTTCATTATTGGCCATCAGATACTATCTATTTTGTTCACTGTAATAAATACATGCTGAATGATTTTAGTCCATGAGAATGTACAAATTTTTTATTGAAATGGTAGAATACTTGAGCTCGCTGTTGCCTCCAGCGAGCACGAAGGTTTTGACACCGTGTGGCGTGAGGTCGCGCAATGTATCCAATTTGGTTCGTAACGCTGGACGGTGGCTTGTCACATTTATTTGTGCATGTTGTGGTAAATGAAATAAACTGCGAAATAAACTGCGAAATAAACGGCAGCTGTCCAGGCTCTAAGAGAAGGGAAGGGCAAAGTCCCAGACCCTCATTCCAGATACAAGCAGGAAATAAGTAAATAGTACGTATCCCCAACGTCCATCAAGCTCCAACCCCTGTGCCGCATAGATATGATTACTAGTGTCGTCGAGTGCACAATCTAGTTTACTTAGGAAACACCACCTACAGCAACAAATTACAGATTCCTAAATAAATTACTCGGCGTCCCTGGCCTCGGGATATAACTCATGTGCCACCTGATCTGCAATGGCTTCCTCGTGGTCAAGGGGTCCGTGAAGTTTCCGAAGGTCATCGTTATCCTCACCAACCTCAACCTCTTCTTCCAGATTGTTGATGAATTCAGAATGCGCCTGATCCTCCGGCTCACCAATACTACTCACGCTACCTCCTTGCACCTTAGCCTCCTCTTTTTCTCCAGCTGCTAGTTCCGGCGCTGCACTGGTTGGCTCGAACGTCACCACACTGATCTCCTTCTCATCCACAGGAACCGGCACATCCATCGCAAGCAACTGACTCTTGATCTCCTTTTGTTTATCTTTGGCAAACACATCTCGCCCAGGCTCCGGAGCGCCAATCGGGACGGCGGTGCTCTGTTCGTCTTGAGGCGGAACGACGGCATCTTGCCCGAGCTTGTCCTCGACCACAATAGCTGCGCGCCCACCGGGCTCACCTCCAATTGTCGCCATCGGGGTGTTCCGGTTCAAAGTAGGAACAGTGACACCTGAATACTGAGAGTACTGTCCGACATTTAGCTAGAGTGCTTCATGAATTATACGAGACTTACTTCGTCCAAAAACTCGTTACTAACAGATCCTCGTCAAAATCCAATCTCCTGATGCAACGTATAAGACTCACCAGGAAAAATCCCAAGTCTTTACCCACTGCCCGTTTGTGCATTTCTTTTTCGTCCAAGGATCGCCATAGGCTAGGGAACTAAATTTCGAGAATGTCATGATTGCTATGATCATGAGCACAGCAGCGATCTGTAACCGAATCTTTGGTCGTAGAGTCGATGTGACGAGGTCAAAAACGGCGCAGTTGAGCAGAATTGCGAAGTATAATGCAGGGAAGTAGTGGTGAAGGAAGAGTTGGCGGCCCATGAGGAAGAAGGGGAAGTAGTGCAAGCAGTACCCGGCGAAGAGAAAGCCGCAGAGGGAATCATACTTGACAACCTTGGCTAAAACAGGTTATCTGGATTAGCGTCACACTACACAGAACCACATTGATCCTCACTGTTGTCAAAATCACGATATCCTCTCTTCGCGCGGAGTATGAGGAACCCTCTGACGAACATGTATGTGACGACCGCAACCGTGCTTGACCACCAAACAAATGGATTGCCGATTAGGTAGATCTGGCGATGATCCTTGACCCAGAAGTTCTGATACACAGTTGATCAAATATGAACCCCAATTTCAATTGTACAACTCACAATGCCACGGCGAAGTCCAGGCCAGCTCAGAGGTCGAGAGTCGTACATGTGACGATCCGTCAATCCAGCATTCGTAGTCCACATAACCCGCTGAAGCTCCCAGAACTTGGACAGAAAACCAGGGATCTTGTAGTTGACCTTTGGAGCATTGACCGATACTATGAAAAGGGGATTTTGAAAACACGCCCGATTACATTGATAGGAAGACCTTACGTTGTGGATGCTTCGCAGCAGTCTCGACGTACCATAACGAGTTGGTCTTGACAGCGTTCTTGTTGCACGTGACCTCCTGCTGATCGAAACCCCACTCGGGGAGCTTCACCTTGTGCGAGAAGAGGTAGCAGCCTGTATTCAGGTGCCTAAGCTTGAAATGCGTCCTCAACGTCCTCAAGCGTGTGTTCGACTCCTTATCACCGCGGTCGCCCTTTTCAATCTCAACAACCCAGTCGTCGTTGATGTCGCCGACGAAGCCAGACATGCCGTACCCTGAAACCTCGTTCTGGAAGTCGACATCTGATACGGGCGGGCGGACGTCGTGCGAATGGAGCGCCTTATCGGTCACGATATGCCTTAACTTGATGCGGGAGCCGTCGTCGATATACACGATAGGCTTGCGCTCGTAGTCGTACTGTTCATAGCTATCGATTGTTGCGTTGAGCACTCGCCAGATATTGTTCTCATCCCTATGAGGGTATAGTGTGATTTGTTGCTCTGTCCGGCCATTCAATGTGTGATGATAGAGAACGAAAGCCATACGTACGTGCACTTCCTCCAGGGTAATTGTGAGCATGGGAGTGTAGATAACCGCCTTGTGTGTTCAGATGTCGGATTGTGATCTCTGAACCAATTGCAACATCTATGTCAAAATGAATCAGTACATACACGTGCCGCACCGCAATATCATACGGACCTGCGTACGTGTCCTGCATCCCTTGACCTAGTGTCTGCCTGAATTCCGAGCTCATAAACGCGTCACCCTCTCCTGAACTTCCGAGAATGGCGAAATGCAGCTGGAACATCATCATGTAGAAAAGGATAGGTATCAAGATGAGACCAACAGCCCGCGCGAAGAAATGCCTAGCCCACATCCTTGGACTGACACGAAGGTCTCCCAAGAGAAGCCACAATTGCAAGATGGTGACAACGCCAACCGTAGCAATTGTGAATAGGCCAACCCATTTGCAGGATACGACGGCGCCTAGAGACAGACCAGTCAAAATGAGCCACGTCCACCACTGTTCGGTAAATGGTTCCTTCTTATCCTCATTCGAAAACCCCACAAAAAAGAAGGTGGCGAGAGCCGTGAAAAATACGAGGGGAGAATCCAGCAGGATATGGCGGGATTGTGTGATCAGTCCGTTCTCGAATGTCAGGAATATTGATGCCAGTAGGGCGGTGGTTGCGCGACAATCAAGAGCTCGTAGGGTGAGATATGCGAGGGGAATAGTTGCGACTCCAAATGTAGCGGGTACCATTCGCATAGCAACATATGGCACATTGTCAAAGACCCTAATTGATACATGCTCAACTCCAGAAAAATATGGTTGCCGACACACTCACTTCCCAATGTCCTTGAAGTCAAAATCGCCATTGAAGCCAAATACGAAGGCCGCCGCCGTGATCAGCAACTTTGCAAGTGGAGGGTGCACATCGACAAAATACCGCGTTTTGATATAGCGTGCTGCAAACTTACCAAAGTGCACCTCGTCGAAACTGGTGGAGAAATATGTCAGATTTGGTAGGACGAGTATTTGGCATACTCACACTACACTATCTGGTTTCGATATACGGAACATCCTGACGCCGGCTGCAATCAGAAGGACAACCACCAGCAGTTTCCATTCTCCAGGTGTGACGTTGAGACCACCTGGCGAATGACTTCGTCGGCCAGGCCCATACCCCTTGGAAGCTGCTTCTCGCCGTTCATCTGCACTCAAGTGGTCTTGTCGTACTGGTGGATATTTATGAGAGGAAGGAGCGGCATGTGGAAGACCGGGGGGCGGAGTAGCTGGACGCCGCACTCTGACGTTGGCGGCCATGACCTAGAATGAAGACAAAACGAAAAAAAAAAAAAGACAAAAAGTATCTAGATGAAGGGCAGAAGGCGCCAAGTAGGGATAGTAGAAAATGTGCTTTAGTAGTAAGTGACGCAACTTGCTACGGACAGGATGTTATTTGCTCTTATTGAATTTCCAAGGCTTTGGTCAATAAATGAAAACAACCACTTGATGCGGGTTTCTGTAAGTAGTCAAGACTGTCGTCCCTTAACCGTTACGCCAAAAGGCAGTGATAATGAAAGCTCATGCTTCATTATCTCGAACAGTATTTATGCTGATTATAGGAACTCAGGTAAGCCAACGGGCTTACAGTTTCACAATATTGAGAATCTTTTCATAAAATAAGCTGTAATGCAAGTATGACACTCAGCACTGTGTCTAGTAACTATTAGTAAGTATCATGTGTAATTAGTTCATTCAGATTCATCAGCCTCAGATTCAGACACCTCCTCTTCGTTCTCAGATTCCGACACCTCTTCGTTCTCAGACCCCGACGCATCCTCTTCGTTCTCAGATTCCGACACCTCTTCGTTCTCAGACCCCGACACATCCTCTTCGTTCTCAGACTCCGACACCTCCTCTTCGTTCTCAGATTCCTCTTCAGATTCAGATTCTTCCTCTTCATTCTCAGACTCCTCACTCTCTTCCTGTCCAGAAACAATAAGAACCGACCTGCCTCCATCTTTCGTGACACGAGCGCGTGTCTTCATGATAATATAACGCCTTCCAAACTGGGTCAGCTTCAAGACAGGTGCAGTATGCCCTTTAATCCTCGTTGCGCCACGAATTTCTGCATCCTCCGGAAACACGCCAAGCCCCGATGGCGCAAGAATAATCGCCTGGCCAGTCTTTATGTGTGCAGTTCGTTAGTGGAGCCCCGTGTTTCAGCATCCGACGTACCTGAAGCTTAACAACCGTGTCAAATGCTTCTTCTATAGACACGTCCGCAGAGATATGCCGTGCAAGGTGGTCCCACCACGCCGGAGAAGAAAATCGATGCATGATGGCGACGCTGCACAAGTCTAATAGAACAGGTGGCACTACAGTTGGCTCTGCAATTTGTGTAAGCCCTGACTCCCTTCTGATCGAGCACCGGAATTACCTTGCGTAGAAATAATGACGCGCATCCCTAAATGCCTCTGCTCTCTTGTGAGGGTCAAAAGGGCCTTGGTTAGACCGGCAACCCCTCTATTGGTGGACAAGTACTTTGGCGTGTTAGCGCAGTATAACTTCGAGGATATAACGAGCCAAATACCTTGTGGGCTTCATCGACGACAAGAACCTTTCCGGTCTCAACCTCAGCCCTCACGAACAACCTGGTGACGATCTCGAACAATCCGCATGCAGATCCTGGGTCAATGAATGGATCCGACAGATCAACAATGGTCAACTCTCCTGCACCAAAACGACGCCGGGTCGATTTGGGTGCAGTAACATTTGATCTGGGCCTACTGATATTAGCGTAAGACTTTGAACCAAAAGCGGTTGGCTCTGGACGATTGGGCTCCATGAACGAGTTCAGGAGAGCTAGGCGCTGCTCAAGACCAGCTATTTGGGCAGGGTTGAAGTTGCCTTTCGCTCCCTCAAGTCGCATCATGAATTTCCCATACGTGAATGTCTCTCCTAAATCTCGGAGAATACTCTAGATAGAGACAATTAGACTCCAATGAACTCCGAATAGATTGCCATTTACAACTCACGAGAACGATCTGGATGTAGAGGGGCGCTGAATCTGATGACCCGACAGCCATCATAGATAGAAAAGCCTGTGCGTCCAACTCTGTCTCATTGAAGAGTAAGGGAACTACATCAACGTTCTTTCCGAGAGGGGCATAAACTGCTTTCATAGTATTGAGAGAAGACCTTGACACGAAGACTCGCACTTTCGGCGTCCTTACGCCTTCCGTTGTTGGGACACCGACCCATGCAGCCTCGCTTGGAAGGGATCCCGCACCACCTTCTCCAAAGTGGAGGACAAGTCCCGCTAAAGGCTGCTGCAGGGATCCTATTTCCCGAAGTTTCGGAATGAGCATGTTTTCCAGCAGGACCGAAACCGTGTGGGATTTCCCTGATCCTTGTACTCCGCACACTACAGCAGAGAAAGGTGCATTCTAAAGTGCTTATGAGATATCGGCAGAATATCGATCTGACAGACTCACAGTGTTGATATAAAGTCTGGGATCTACAGGGACGTAGGCGCTTGATTTCGAACTTTGAATCGAACATGAATATAAAGGACAAAAAGAGAGAGAGACGTCGTACTGTATTGACAACACCTCACCCATCACTCCATACTGTGTGGAATTTTTCTTGTATCCAGCAGTTACATACGCCTCTCTCGTAATGAGAGGCGCGGTCTTCAGTTCGTGATCTTTACTTAGGTCTGACGCATCCACTGTTGAACTTTGGAGATGCTTTAACTCCACCTGCATCGATGAGAATCACGAAGCTAGCAGGTATAAGAACAAACATACTTTCGCAGCTTTCACTGTGTCAAGGTCATAAGGAACGGAGGGCGTCTCGTCAATTGATTCCGCGGGTTCTACTCCTGTGTCGGCATCTTCATCCTTTAGCCGTCAAGAAATTAGGTTACATAGACTCTCGAGGTACAACTTATATATACCACAGGGGCCGCCTCTGTGTTAGCCGACTTGTCTGAGAGGGACTTTTGGGGGGTCGATCTATCGGTCCTGGAGGAAAGCTATGAAAGTGAAAGTTTCAGTAACAGACTGATTAATACAAGAATGGAGTCGATTACGTTAGTCCTGAACGTGAATGGAACTGGTTTTGTCGAAATTGAAGTTTTGCGAACGGTCGAAGCCATGCCCGATGTAACCGGAAGTTGACTGGAAGGCTGACGGGCAGCAGGTTTCCGAGAGGTTACCTTGCCTGCTTTGCACTTCGTAACTACTCCATTCGGAGGCGGAGCCGATTCAGAACGTCCGACACCAGCAAACTACAAAACCTGTTTGCGGAGGTACATTCAAATGAGCCCAACAGCACGCACCATGAACTAAATAAAAGTCGAATGAGCAAGACACTCAGACATAATCATATCGGCAAGAGTGAACAGTCACACTGACCATTGAGCTAGTAAAGTTTATTGTCGTAAACAGTGAGCTTGAGGAATAACGTCGAGCAGAAAAATCCTCGAGACAAAGGACTGAAAGGCCTAGGGAACAAGGGTCAACGGAAAAATGCAAAGACGCGTAAGTTATATAAATTAAATTAGGACACCGCGACGCGATCACGTGCTTGATAATTTCTTGACCTAGTGCCGGCCTCGGCCCTCAAACTACTAGCTAGAACGTAGTGGCCTCGGCCCGAGGAACCGTTCTAGAGGAATATGCCGCCAACTTCGGTGAGCGATTGCTCAAGAACTCAAGCTCCTCGAGGCTGTTTTCAAATCATGATGGACCAGGACGCATAAGGATCGCCCAAGACGCGAGTAATAGAAACCGCCAAGCTTAGTAGAAGACTCAGAACTAGGGAATCGGCTCCGAGAACCCAACTTAACACTAGTGGATATCGGTTCTGCCAGTTATAACAAGCGTCCACGATTTGAAGTCGGCTTGCTATTCTCTCAGCCAGGAGAAACCGAGTAATTTTTCCAGCGCAGAGGAGGTCAAGTGCAACTTACAGTGTTGACAGTCTGGCCAGTGGCGAAACTGCCTCAGTAGTTCAGACGTCCAAAAACGGTGCGCCCCTGTGAGAACACTTGAACGCTTATGGCACCCACGTGTTTCCCCACTTCTCGTGCTCCTCCCGAGTCACTGGGTGTGACAACATGTCGCCCACATCGAACTTGCGGGAATGCGAAACTCTGCTTAAGCCTGACCAACACTATCCCCTGTACATCACTGCCAAGAAGTACTGGTTACCAGAATTTGAAGCTCACTGGGACGATGAGGATGCCGTCACCCTTGTTTTACTTCATTCGACTAGCTTTCATAAAGAGACTTGGCAGCCTACCCTGGAACGTATCTTCAAGTGTTCTTCATCTTACCCCCGAATTGCATCGAAATCCTTGAAGATCAAATGTGCATGGGCAATCGACTGCCCAAACCATGGTGTATCTGCTGCACTCAACGAGGACGCACTTCGGCAGGCACCTTTTTACCACGACTGTGAGTCACTTTGGTTGCACGATTGATAACAGAATAACAACTGGTGCAGTCGGGTGCCGCAGATATGCAGAGGCCGTCCATAGATTTATGTCTGCTGGACTAAGGCTCGAACCCACGGTTGACTTCCGAAGCCAACGCCTTGTTGGTATAGGTCATTCCCTCGGCGGAGTTGCTATGTCAGCACCTCATTCTTCACAACATGCCCGCTCTCGACTCACAGGTTCTGTGTTAGAACTATATTGCAGAACCTTGAACCAGCCATCAGATTTTTGTCTCTCATCCTCGTGGAACCCATGCTCAGTCCAACTGCAGATGCAGTGGAACCACTGCGCGATATGCTCATAAAAAATGCATACAAACGAAGAGACGTGTGGCCCTCCCGAGAATTTGCATATGAGAACCTGAAATCAAGAAAGCGATGTGAACGCTGGGACCCGCGTGTCCTGGACTTATATATTGTACTGCATCCCCTTGTCGTTCTATCACATCGTCACCTTAATGACATCGCAGAAATTTGGACTAAGGGCTCACACAGGTGCGAGTCACCTGAAAGCACCCTACGATGGTGTCAGCCTAGCATGCTCCCGCGAAGAAGAAGTAGTACGCGATCAAGATCCTTTGTTAATACTTGACCCCACTGAGACTACGCTTTCAGACAATGTACAGAGAGCCTGACGGTGCAACCAAACCAGTGCGAGATTTGGACAAAGTATGCCTACGCATTCCCGTTAGTATCGTGTTTGGAGGCGAGAATGATTACATGTACGCCACTTTTACGAATCGCTCAAGTGCGATCCTTGACAGACATGCGTTGCCGTAGACCCCGTGCAGTGCAGGATGCTCTAATTGATCCGGCTTCAGGCAGGCGTTTTTCCTGCGTCGTGCGGATTGATGGAACAGGACACCTAGTATGTAGCACACTCTTTCCTCTTCCGACGTCAGGGTAATCGTTTTTCATCAGGTGCCTCAGCACGTTCCCGACCAGCTTGGCAAACAGATATTCGATATTTTGTCCAGTGCACCCTCATTTTCTAGGCTATAGGATGTCACTCTGCTATTGATGATACAGATCCTCGGACAGCTTCCATCCTCGCCCATTCGCCTATCGGGCTGCCATCATCACCGACGATACCTCTCCACTGCAATAGCCTGCTCGTCAGGGCATCCCATTTCACGAACTTTTCGTCAAGCGTCATACTCGCCCGCCATAAGTCTTCGACAATACAACCCCACGCCCGCAGGGGATCAGTTATTGGTGGTTGAATATGCAATCCGTGACTGTGGTACGGCGGCTTAGAAGGGCTGGCAGGTCTGTTGATGGAACCAGATTCGCTGAAATCTATGCAAGACTCTAGTTGTTCGAGAATGCTGATTGCGGCCATGAGAACTCGCGACAAATGAAAAATTGAAGTCTGAGGCACGAGACTTGATCGTAGCGTCACACGAGCAGCTTGTTGGAGAATAGCAAGCGATGGCGCTACAGGAAAGTGAATCAGCTTCAGAAGGCGGTGGAAACAATGCCCATACCACTGCAATTCTGTAAAACCAGCAACAGGCATCTACACAGAGCATCTCGCCATTGCCCGTTCGTGGCACGCTGCAACTTCGCTGTGTTTGCTGTGACCAGAACGTTCTCAAGGATCTTTAGCCAAGCGAGGGTGTCTTCGGTGCTTTGCGGCAATTGTACCTGCATCTCGATCCAGGATAGAAGAGACGACTTCAAAACGAGGGAAGTAGTTGCCTGGACATTACAAGTCAGGTTAGCGAGCACCTGTGAAACAACTTGAATTAAGGGGTTGGTATGAGTGCTCGCGCCACGGACCTCCAATACTGCGCGTCGCAATACTTGATCGCGAACGGAGCTTTGCACAAGACTGGCAAGGAGCTCCCACGTATGTCGGCGTTTAAGCACCTTCCAATCTTCCGTACTCATCATCCCGTCGGACAGGAACCTAACAATCCAGCCACGCTCTTTCTTCCAGTCATCCGAACTGCCATAAAGCATGCCATATAACATGGGCACATCAGTCACGTCGAGTTCTGGACGCTGAAGAAGGAAACGCGACGTGCGTGGGTAGATGAAATTGGAAGGATAAAACACCCCACGAAGAGCGTGAGATAGAATTAATGATGCGAACGAAGGCAACCGCAAAGGAGGACCGTCGGATGGTTTGATCAGGTTCTTCAGGATGTTAAAGATGTACAGCGCGTGCTGCTTTTCTTGCATATCCGAAAGCTGACAAGGAGTAAGGATCCTGAGATCATAGAATAAACCAGATAGTACACGCACCTCCACCGATTTCCGCACCCTTGCCAACAAGCCAAGCGAGGCTTCACGGATCTTTTCGTCCTTTGCAGACAAACAGCGGACAAGTAAACTGAAAACATTCGATCGGAAAGTCTGCACCCATTCAAGGGACGAAGCTGGAGGGTGATGCGAAAGCATCTGGGCAACGAGCAGAATCACGAATAATGGATCGTAAACCTGCTCATCCAAGCCAACTTGCTCGTCTTCCTGCTCGTCTGACATACGTCTCCATATCGGGAACACGTGGCAGGTTCTCAGCACGCGTATGGGATCCATGTTTTGTATTGCATCAAGCTGATTTGAAATGGATATACCAGGGGAAGGTGACCACTTGGCGAGAATGGATGATGTAGGCATGTGTTTTTCAGCCTCATATAAACGGAAGACGCTCAGCAGATTTCTGTCTGCGACAGAGACGGTCCCGCCGTATATGCGCACGAGTGGAACGATATGTGAAGGCTGACATGTGTTAGTGGGATGGAGTCGGAATAGGGCAACGATAAAACGGATGATAAGATCTCTTCGAGACGACTCTTCAAAACCACATAGTTTGAAGAACTGAGGGTGTTGAAGTATGTTCTGCAGAGCCCGATTCACGACGACGGGCTAAAAACATCCATACTGAGCCTGAAGCCGTGGAAGATGGCAAGATAAGATCACCTTTAGTGGCGAGCACTGCAGTAATGCAATACCAATGTTGATAGCAACGGTATCAGTAAGTCGGTTCTGAATGATAGTCGTCAATAGAGGCTCTGCAAAATGTGCCTTTGCGTTGAATCCATGCTTGGTGAGTTTTGCTGCGGATGAGTTAGCACGGTACATGAAAAGCATATTCAATCTGACGTACTTAACTGGACTAAAATCAGTCGGTCCTCTTCATCTTCGCCTTCAGGGTCAGAGAAATGGCGCACTGCCCATTGCAGTCCGCGCTCAGCTAATTCTGTCACAAGATCGGCCAGTAGAGGAAAAGATTGAAAGCGGGAGGCAATGCACACGCTTTCGAGGGCGAATTGCTCGACAGCGTTGTGTTGCATATTCGTCAGTAGCAGGCCGATGAGCTGTCTTTTCCGAGCCGCATCCGCCTTGATCAGGATGCAGATGCAGCGGATGCATATATGTCTCAGCTCCTCAGGGCGACGACGCTGAGGTAAAATACGCTCAAAGAGCGCGATAATAGTGGTATCACGACACAAATCGATTACGTCGCCACCCATGGAGTCCAAAAGCGCATGTACTGCTGGTAGGACAAGTTCAAACGGAATGGTCGTCCAAGCTCCCGAATCGAGCCATGTGATAAACCGCTTTGCAACATCGGATTGAGTATAAACCAGCCCAGACACAAGGCGGGCCGTGGTATCCGTCCAAGTCGCCTTTTGAAACAGCGTCGAGACGAAATCAGCGGGGAGTATGTCCAGTTGGGAATTTCCAGAAGTCGACATGGGTCGTCGTGACAAGGAGAAGTCCAATGTCTTCGCTCGCGGAGGTTGTCCGTTATGGCACGACGGAAGATGTGAATTCACCACAACAGCAATTATTTCCTCGAGCACCTGGGAATCAGGTAATACCCGATATAACCTCAGCAGCTGCGAAATCGGGATTCTCGAACTAGCGCAACTGAAGGAACTCTTCAAGGTGTCAAGGGCAAACTCCAGAGCCTCCAGCACAGATGGTGTAAGCACAGCGTTATTGCATGCTTGATCAATGATGTTCACAAGGTTATCTGTGTCCATGTAACGTAGCCACAACTTGATGGAACGTCCCTGGGGAAGCATCAGGAATGTGAATACTAACGCAGTGGATCGTCGTACCGTCTGTAGTCGTCCTGACTGAATTGATGCCCTAAAACACTCCATCCAATATACACAAATCGAGGAGATCATCACCCTATCCCCCTCATTGCTGGGGTCAAGAGAAACCTCGAGGAAAGCGCACAGAGCTGCTCGAACAATTAACCGAGAGAACACCCATTAGTGAGAATATTACCTTCTTGCACGGTATCGGGAAGATCTCCAGACAAACACAGGCCACGGATGGAGGGCGCCCTCATTAGAACATACTCCTTTAGCCGAACACCATCTTCTTTCGAGAGTTCACGAAGTGCCCTGTGCATGATTGCAAATAACAAACGAAGTAAATCGCACACAAGAGATTCCCGCTCCATGGTCAAGCAGATATCATGTGCGACGAGGCAAACTGCACGTTCAATCTGAACCCGCGTGGGTGGTCTAATGAACAAACACTCCAGCATTGTTTCGCGGCATTGCTTGTTTGCGACGTCGGCATTAGAACTTTGCACGAACATCCAATCAAAGGAAAGCCTGTGTAGAGCGTTTGTTATTCACAACAACATAGAAGGCAGGTAACGCACACTTGGAGGAGCTGCCTTGAGGCAGACTTTAGATCACCGCCTTCCCACATTAGCAAATCTGCGGGATGAAGGTTCTCGAACAGATCCTTAAGAGCAGGGGAATAAAAGCGTTCAACCACGGCCGCAAGTCGGACGATATCTTGGGGCTGAAGAGTGGGCCCTACGAAGCGCAACCAGTCAACAAGTTCGTACGCGTTGTGAATGCGTACACTTGAGCTTTCAGCTAGAACGACATGGTCAATTGCCATCAAAAAGAAAGATATACGCTGCACACACGCAAAGGCACTCTTTCGATTTTTGTCAAGAAGTCTTCGACCTCTGGACTTGTCGTAGGTTCCGAGCGGCTACGCACCTCCTGGAAATGACTGAAACACTTGTCCATGATCGACACTTCACGCCGGATCGCAGCGGTGACGGAAGGATACTGAGAGAACAAATTCTCAGGCATCCCAGCAGCATCCACTTTCGCAGACAATATATGCAGAAATGCCAAGTCCCTCTGCTTGCTAGCCAGCTTAAATACAAGCCTTCTCAAAAACCCAGCAAGTGCAAGTCCATCCGATGGGGTGAGTAATTTTCCCGCTAGTTTCGCAGCAAATTGCTCGAGCACAGTCATGAGCAGCGGGCTAGGCACATCGACTGCCGTGTTCTCCATGGGTAGAAGATCCCGGAGTGCCTCCAAGTATCGATACGGGGTTTTTATACATCGCTGCGCGCAGTCGTCCAGAAAGGTGGCAACGCTATCAGACTCTTCTGTTAGGGCGGCGCCATCTGGGGCTTCGGAGCCCTCTCCGCGACAGGTCGTTGGGAGGGAGTCGAGCCACAAGTCGACCTCGTCAGGGTCTTCTTGGAAAAGGATGCTTTCAGCAAGCGTTTTCTTTAGCAGTGAGCGTAGGGTGCTTCGGACTGCTGTTGTAGGGGTAGCGCAAAAAATCCTGACAAGGGCATGAAGGTAAGTGTTGGAAGAGTTTGCTGTCATAAACGAAGGTAAGTTGGCGCACGAAGCCAAGGCAGGACACCGAATAATACTGACCAACTTTCCCAGACCACGTAAATTGGTCGCTTTCTTGTAGTAATCGGAGTACATGCAGTTGCTTCAAGCCATGCAGACCGCATACGTTTCCAGCTTCCCTTACAGCATCTTGGGACGCATCCACAAGACCCTGCAACAACTTCCCTACATCGAACCTCGCTTCCGCGACCATCTGAAGGAAACACAAATGATACAACCAAAGCAATCGCTGAGCACTCTCCCCAAGCAAAGCTAGTTTCACGTCTCCGCCATCTACCTTCATTTGG